TAATTTAGCAGTGTAAGACTAGAGGGGAGGCAGCTAGGCATCACCACCCACCGCGAACTCTTGGGCTACTCTTTTTACCAACGAATAGTGGGATTGACTATTATAACGCCTCCACGGCTGGAAGGGCGAGCATGTTTGGTGTGAGAGGGATTCGAACCCGCGAACCTCAGATTGTGAGTTGAGTGCCTTAACCACCTGGCCATGGCTCATATTAGCAATACTAACTTAGATATCCATATTTATCATTGAGCATTTTAGCTGACTCTGAGCAAAAATGTGTGACACACACTTTTACAATTTCAGCAGTATTATATTTATAATAACTTAATAATATTGAATGTAATACACGTAAGATATATGAAGGTTCACAGCATGAAACTTGTGATAAATATAGCAGAGGAAATAATGTATAGCTGAGGTAGTATCTTAGTATAATAAGGTTTGTTTGTTAAATTTTCACTGAAAATTCACCGAGAGCTATATGCGCTTACTATCCCTAATTTTAGCTGACTCTGGGCAAAAATGTGTGACACACACTTTTCCAGTTTCAGCAGTATTATATTTATAATAACTTAATAATATTGAAGGTAATACACGTAAGATATATGAAGGTTCACAGCATGAAACTTGTGATAAATATAGCAGAGGAAATAATGTAGTATCTTAGTATAATAAGGTTTGTTTGTTAAATTCTCACTGAAGATTCATCGAGAGCTATATGCTCTAACTGTCCCTAATTTTGAAAAGATAGACTATAGAGAGAAGACGGTTAATCAACACCACCAACCACCAATTCTTGAGCCACTCTTTAACAACGAATCCGACTGTTGCTCAGCAGTTAAGCGTGTCGGAATATGGAAAAGTGGTTCGCGCCTCGTTACCGCCACTAACAAAAATTAGTGTTCCACAATTTGAGGCATTGTGTACGTTATAGGAGCGACGATCAAATACCACTTTTTGAGATGGTTGTGGGTGGTGTTAACTAGTTGCCTTCCCTCTAGTCTATCGCTTCAAAATTAAGGACGTCTAGTGCAGATAACTCTTGAGTAGGTTTGTGTAAAACAAATTTTATCAATGAATAGTGGATTTGACCTTCCATTATAATGCCCCAACAGCTGAAAGGCCGAGCATGTTTGGCGACGTTTTATGTTATAAAAAGCGGATAAATAAACATTTTGTATCTAAAGCTATAATAAATATAAAATATTTGATGTTATTATTGTAATAATTATGAACATAATTTACAGCCATTACGAAAAGACAATGTAATGACAGAATCAGAGAAATAGTGTAACTGTAAACTTCGAACGGATCTTTAGACCATGAGGTAGATACAAATTGAAATGTTAAATGTGGAGTCTCAAATCAGATTTATGCTTCGATTAAATCCTACATATGTTTCTTGTAGTAATTAATTTCTCAGAAACATTGTATGCAGGTTAAAGGAAGTGTTGATCTTGCACTTCTGAGCCGCTTTCAAGTATACATCTTAGTGGTTCTATCATTTTCAACAATTAAAAAAAACTTCCAACAAATGCCTTTGCTGGTTAAACTAAAAGTAGGCTTGTGTTGTCAAAGTTCAAACTTGAAATCTACTTTATTATGTTTTTTGAGGTTATAATACATTCAAACGTGTAGTGAACATATTTCCTTATACAAACCAGATTTGCATTGGGATTAAATCCACAAACTGGTTCAGAAACAAAATTATGTCTATGGTACTGAAGTACTACATTTGTGAAAGAAGTCAAATAGTATCAGCTTATGTGAAAATTAGTTAATAACCGGTTTTGTTATCTTCTGTGGTTACAACTTTTTTAAACATTTTGTTACCAATTGCATAGCACGTCTTTGAAACATAAGCGAAATACACTTCGATTTTACCCTTATTGCTTAGATAACCAGTTATGAGATTAAAAAAATCTTGTTTTACCAACAATTGCCGTGCGTATATTTTATAAATTGGAGGCATATCATCAATAACATCATGTTAACATTTCAATATTTTCATTTAATGTGTAATTTTTACGTATCAGACTGTAAATGAACAACAGAATACGTAAAGTAACGGATACTTGGGAAATAATACAGTAGAGATATTTCCCTTATTTGTAAAATAAAAAAATATTATTACTAAAACAGAATACTTGAACAACACCCTGAAATACGTTAACATGTAAACAATGCAATAACGTTAATTTTTGTGTGGAAATATTAATTCAAAATCCGAACATTTTATTGATAAGTAATACGTTACATATTCACATTAATTGAAAAATAAAAAAAGTTAAAATTCAATAGCAGAAAATGTTACAATGTGGTTTCTGTAAAATAAAGCTAAAATCTACTGAGATTAATGGCTTTTCTTAATATTTTAATAAACTACAAGAAGAAGCGTATCTAAAAAAGAGAAAAAGAATCAGTCAATTTATTGTTTGATTTTGTTATAGATTTTGCGCAAAGCTACACGAGGGCTATCTGCGCTAACCGTCCCTC